GGGGGGGGGGGGGGGGGGGTGTTGCTGAAACCTTCTAACTTTTAGACCAATGCGTGACCCGGGCATCCAAGTGTGTTTTTTTTTTCCAACCGGGAGCAGCTTATTAACATCTCAGAAGCTCAAATAATGCCTCGGCTGCAGCCCCAAGTCCCAGGTGAGTTGCAAAGGAGGCTCTGTGGATGCATTCCCGTCTACCTGGCGGAGGTGCTCGAGTTCTTGACCGCCGAGATCCTGGGGCTGGCGGGATGCACGGCTCGTGACAAGAAGACCAGGATGATCTCCCACACCTGCAGCTGGCTGTCTGCAATGACAAGAAGCTCAACAAGCTGCTGGGAGGAGTGACCATCGCTCAGGGGAGGAGTTCTGATCAACATCCAGGTGGTCCTGCTGCCCAGGAGGACCGAGAGGTCCGCTGGGTCCAAGTGGACGGTTCGTCTGCAGCCGCTACAAGAGATCCTTCCTGCCCACAGCCATCAGCATCTAGAACAACTCTTTAATGAGCTACAACAACATTTAATTTTAATAAAGTATTTTGAATTGTATAATTTTATTTTTTTCATGAATTCTTTTAGTCTCCTTTTTGTTGTGCGCCGGTCGAAAGGCGAGCTCTCCGTCTGCAAACTTTCTCTTGTCTCGCCCTTAACTTCAGATCCACTCAAGACAATTTAATGAAACTTCATACACATTTCTGGCACCACAAGCTGCATAATGGGCTCTAAGGTCAAGGTCACAATCAAGGTCAATGTTAAAACAAGGTATTTGCTCGTCCGGGCCGTTGCTTCAGATTTTTGTTTGTTTGGCGACTGGCGTATAATGTTCTGTAGGCTGTACTCTTGACACTTTGTTTGTTTTTTTAGTCTTTTTATGTCTCTATGCATCTTTTTGGTTTTGTATCTTGTGCTTTCATTTTTTTATTCATGTTTTTTCTTTTCTGAATTTTCTGTCCATCCTTCACCTTTTTTGACAAACGGCATTCAGTGCTCAACATTTAATGCTGGATTTATGCTGATTTCTCTAGTTTATTTTATTTGCATAAATACAGAAATAAAAACAATAATAATTTTACGGCAGTAATTCAAAAATAAAAACAATTTAAAACACGACAAGACAAAATAAAACCTGTAAAATGGAGCCAAAACTGTCTCATGCTGTGTAACAGGAAGACAGAAATTCATGTTTACTCCTAACATAAGCTTGTTTGTTATTTATTTTTTAATTATTATTTTACATGTGAAGAATTGAAGCAAGCACCAGACAACTGACTTTAAACTTCTTTAGCTGTTAAAACAGAGAAAGGCTCGTCTAAGATGAGAGAATGCACAAGATTCAGCGTGTTGGAAACCTGTAAACAAAACAAAGAAAAGGAGATTTCTGCTTTATTTCATCAGTTATTTCATCTTTTATTGGCTGTTACAGATTATTTAGTCTGTGGTCGATGTATTATTTGTTGCCTAAACTGTTCTTTGTCGTGCATGTGCAGCGGCCTGTCCAGCCCCACACATGCAGATCCTTTGAATGGCCCTTGACTCTTCTTGTGGCTGACTGGGATTTCTGCACCAGTAAAAATGTTGACACGTCCAGACAAAAGATGGAGACAGCAAAGAGGGTTTTCCTCGCGCTGCTGTCTTTCTTCACATGGTTACCAGACGTCTTGTTGCTCCCTGTGGTTAAAACAAACAAACAAACAAAATGGCTGTATGGTGTTTATGAAGAGACATCGCCGGAGTAGGCGGTCTCTTCCACGTTACCTTGGATCCCCCTCAGTCCCCTCTATTCATGTGTGGAATCTTATTGTTGTCCAGGGGCATCAGTCAACCTGGCGTTTAAGGCTGGAGGGCGGCTCCCAGTTGGTTGGAGCAGCAGGGGGGTGTTAACGTGTTCTGGTGGCGGTCCAGAGTCAGGGTTTCAGGGAAAAGGCCAAAAGACGGTGGAGCTGTTGATCCAGGAGGAACCAGTGGGAGAGGACTTGGAAGATGGCGCCTGCTCCGGTGGTTTTCGCCTGGTTTGTGTTCTGCGTGACGGCGCTCACCTCAGCAGTCGATCTGGAGCCCGAGCAGGGTGAGCACACACACCGCCCATCAAATGTCAAAGGTCAAACTAAAAACATCACCATCGTTCAGACTAATATTGTTTTTTTCTGTCTTTAGATGTTTGTTTTCATGAAATCATTTTGTTATTTTTGTCCTACCTTTCTGAAGAAAAGCTGCAGGATCATTACCGAAGATGATCGTGCAGTAAAATACTAAACATTCACGACTAAACATCTGAGCATCATCTAATCTCTGTGGTTTGGATGTTTTTCGTTAACTAGAAATCAAAAGACCCAAGTTTAGGTTGAAAAACAGTGCAGCAGTTTGATAAATATACTAGTTTGTGTTTTATTGCTGGTTTTTAGTTTTGCGTGGGTACAAATATAATTAGCTTAAATGCATCCATGTTCTGTATCATCCAGACGTTTGTCTGAAGAGGCCAGTAAAAATAGAGAAAACACTGCGCATGTTGCATAAAACTAATTTACCAAATATAACATCCCCAATAATTGCTTTGCTGATGATATTCAGTTGCATCTGCCCATTGAGTCAGACACTGGAACCACTCCTGAACTGTCTACACAACATTAAAGTCTGATTAAAACTAAACATCCTGAATTTAAATGAAAATAAAACTGAAGTCATCATCTTTGGTAAATGTAACACCCACTCTTGGCTTCATACAGCCGCTGCACTGTCAGGAATCTGGAGGTGCTTTTAAAATAAACTCATAAATGCAGTTTCTTCCAACAAAGACTTACCAAGTTAAAGTCTTGTCTCCCTTCAGAGACCTTGAAAAGCTGATTCACGCTTTTCTTACCTCTCGTTTGGACGTTTGTAGTTCACTGTATGTTGGTTTAGATAAATCATCTCTGCATCGTTTACAATCTGTCCAGAACCAGCAGCTCGTCTTTTAACAGCAGCTAGAGAACACCAACACGTAACTCCTGTCCTGACTTCTCTCCATGGCTTCCGGTCCTCTTCAGGGTTGAGTTTAAGATTTTATTGTTTTTAAAGTCTTAAAGTTCTGACCTCGTCTTATTTATGTGATCTTCTTAACATCTACACTCCAGTAAGAGCACGCCGGTCTACCAACCAGGTCCTCTTAGATGTCCCCAGATCCAAACTGAAGTCCAGAGGTGATGGGGGTTTTTGTTGCACCTGAACTGTGACCTGATCATTTAAAGACCGCTGAGACTGTTGAAACTTAAATCTTTGCTCAAGACTCATCTTTTTCCTTGGTGTTTGATCCATGCAGAGTCTGAGAACAAATTTAGAGCTGATATTTATTGTTGTTGTGTTTTATTGTTAACTTTCTTGTGTATCTTGAGTGGCACAAGATGTCTTTTTCTTTCTAATTTGACTCAACTGTAAAGCATTTTGGTCAACTTTCTTTGTTTTATGTTCTATAGAAATAAACTGACATGACCTGTTTTCCATTTTCCAAAATTCTTCTTCTTTCTTTTCCATCAGAGATCAATGAAACTGTCATTTGCACCAATGACCACATGGAAGTCGTTATTCCGAGTGTTTTTTTCCTCAACAAAGTCCCTCCAGTTTATGTAAGCCATCATTTTTCCTAAAGTACCTCGAGAATCTAGAGTAACGAAACGAGATGCTTGAAGTACAAAAAAGGTTGACACTTTGTGTAATTTGTAAATAAAACAAGAATGCACTAATTTGAAATCTCATAAACCCTTATTTGTTCATAATAGGACACAATAAATAAATCACAATATTATTTTTTACAGTTTCTTAGATTAAACATTTAATAAGTTTATGTTCCACTGTGGATAAAATATGGGTTAATGAGATTCCCACATCTATGCTTTGTATTTTTTTTTTACATTTTACACCACATCTAAAAAATTTTTAGGAATTGAAGCAGTATTTTGCTTAATATATTTTAATTCTTGTTTTCACTGCATTTGTCTCTCAGGTTTGGGATTTGCATCTAAATGATCCAGACTGCCGTGGGATTGAAGTAGATGACAACTACGTTTTCAGCATCAAAACAAATCTTTCAGACTGTGGGAGCGTAGTGGTAGGATGTTTGGCTAACTACTAATTGTTCTTGTTTTCGTGTTCTGTCTGCAGAACGTAAAGAGCCTAATTAATCAAACGCTGCACGTGAACTCAGACATTTCGAGCAGCTCCATATAAAGGAAAAAGACAGCTTTAACTG